GAGCACGACAAGAAAATAGAGTAAGTCCATGGAAATTTTGCTTGCTCCATTAAGCCATGCAAGGACAGCTTCAGTTGGTCCACGTTCGTTGTTGCAGTCCATTTTCAACGATCAAGATACAACCACTTGTCCAATTTTCTTTTCAATATAGTATAGCTCTAATATTGTAGGAGCTTCAATTTCTTTAATGGAAAGGCAATTTGCACCATTAAACCATGGAATGACATCTTTAGTTAGCCTGCATATGCTGTTGAAGTCCCCATTTTTTAGCTCTTCAGTTTCTTTACTGGAAATGCAGTTTGCTCCATTAAACCATGTAAGGACAGGATTGGTTGGAATGCGTCCGCTATTGAAGTCCCTATCTTCAAGCTCTCTTGCCGCCATGAATTTGCAGGATCCTTTATCCTTTATTCTCCAGCAGGTTCTTGAATCTTTGATTTTATTTGCATTTCATAACAATAAGAGCCTAGAATTTGTTGAGGAGTCCACCAAGGCATCGACATTCGTTATGTCCCACAGTGTCAACCATTTCATTTGGGATCCAGGAGGTTCACTTGTCATTTTTTTCTTCCCCATTGGACCTTGAGGACAAGGTCCCTTTCATAGGGGTGAGTAATGTTATAGAACATTAGTTGTAGATATGAAATCTTTACCTCTAGGATCGGTTAGAGTTCTGTTCGAGGATTATTAGAGTAGTTGTAGAAGTTGTTACGTAAATATTTAGTTGTACAGAAGATATAGTAGTGTGCAGGTGTAGGCTTTTGTATAGTTGTTGTGCAATTTGTAATCAATTAAATCTACCACACAAATACGCAAGTGCACGTGTCACAAGTAATAAAGATATGTGTGAGTCCAAGTATCGTTCCGACGGAGATAAGTATAAAGTGTGAACTATTCAAGTAAAGAAAATATGAAAAAGGATTGATTTTGATGGTTGGATTTATAAAATAAAAGACAATTAAAAATAAGAAAATAGTAAACTAAAATTAAACATATTAAGATGAGGGATAAGATATAGGTCAGGTTCAATTTTCCTAATACAGCAATACTGAAACGATGCTTTAACGATCCTATATCAATGCTTAATTAGTAACCGAAAACTAAAGTATGTTGGAGCTTTTGGCCAACCTAACATATATACCCAATAACTAATTCCCACATCTCTATGGCCAAACTAATTACTGAATTGTTGAAGTCCAAGTTCAAAGGCTATGTGGTGTGAATGATCTCTCTACCCACAACTTAATCAAGTTAACTTAACTTAATTAATCCACACAATTCAACAAGGGTCTGGATTCGGAAACCTCTCGGCCCCAACCTCCTCAATATCATATATGTATCTCTTGACATGCATACATGAATAAGAATAAGCAAACTCGTTGAAAAATTAATTAAATATTAATAAAAACAAAGTTTAGGCATACATCTCAGTGTTACAGCATAGGTACTTTATCACCTAACCTATAGAGAAAATTAGCTCATAATGGAATTAAATAAAATAGAGAAAAGAAAGAAAGAATTCATGGAGAAACAGAAAAGAAGATGAAAGGAATGTTGTTGTGAAACTTTGTCACAGTCTTGCTCCAGTAATGCTCCAGCAACTCTTCCTCCTCCAAGAATCTCACTTCTCTCTCTAAAACATTCCTTCTGACTTCTCGGCCTCTTTCTAGCTGCGTCTAACCTCGTCTCTCTGAAAAACTCTCTTGGAATCCGTGGGGGACTCCTCTTTAAATAGGAAAAATAGTTGGATAATTGGGCCTTTGGTTTGGGAGTGAGATTCCATGAATCTTATTGCTGCAGCTTTATCTTATCCCTAATTTCTTGGGCTGTTGGCACTTGATTGGATAAGATCTTGATCTTCTTGATTTTCTTGTGACAATATTGTTGTTGACTAAGGATAAGTTTGTTGTCCTTGATCCTTGCGATTTTAAGATAAGATTTAATCTTTGAAAGCGTCCTTGATCCTTTCTTGCTGGTGTTTTATCCAATTGTTGGGGAATAACTAACTTTTGAATTTTGAATTTTGAATTTTCAGTTGTTCCCTTGTCCACGCTGTCATGCTGTACCGACTGCTATATCATTACTTTGTCAGCTTCTCTGTTACAGCATTCTGACGTCAATTTTCCTGCAAGGATAAACACTTAACAAGTCATCTTTTCTTATACAAAATCAAGAAATATTGTCTCATTTTCCATACTTAGTCATCTTAAAACACTTAATCATAACTATGCAATATTTAGCTTAATTATCATGCAAACAAGACAACTTATATGGAATTTATGCAGTAAATTCATCATAAAAATACTAAATTAACTCTCAATTGAGAGAGTTAACACACTCCAAACTCAAAACGTTGCTCGTCCTCAAGTAACAAAGAAGAAAATGATTAATTGGCCTGCATAAATTCAGTGGCATAATAGCAGCAATGGCTATTATTGAAATGAGTAGTTCTGATGTAGCATTCCAAGAACAATGTACACGTGAGAGTTGATTTTCAACCTTGGCTTATACTTTCACTTTGGGACTCTTTGTTAGCTTGACTTCTCATGGCTTCTTCCTTTTGGAGTATTGAGTGTGTGTGTGTGGTGAACTTTCTTGTTGGCTTGATCCACTTGAGAGCATCAAACTAAGAATCATAAGACTTAGTTTCTTTATCCATACTTTGCCAAATTTGAATCAAAACCTATGTGTAGGGAATTGAAGGAACGAGTGTCCACCTTGCTTACTTTTCTTTTGACTTGGCTCCCTCTTTTATTTTGTGAGCTTTGCTCATGTTCATTGGCACTTATTTTATGTTTTTTAATTTTGCCTTGATTTTTCTTTATGTGAGTTTCTTTCTTTTTCACTTGTGCTTTTGCACTTGATTTAGCTCGGCTTCTTTCACCCTTATAGCCTTTAGAACTTACTCATATGGTAAGATTCAAATCCATCAAACCCTGAATCCTAAGTCCTCATTCGCAATCCACTCTTTAGGCTTCTCTTGCTTTCAAGTTCCTCCTTTGTGCTTGATTGTTCAATTACTCCAGTTGCTTTCTGCCTTGATCATTTCAGCCTCCAATTTATACTTTCATTGCCTTTCAAGTTAAAGAGAACTTACTCTCACTCAACATAACTACTACTATCCTGCTACAGCAAAAAGGATCATAACAACATAGATAAAGATGCAATTTGTTTTACCTTATTGATGCAGCATTATTCTCATACTTTTTCTTACTCTTTATTTAGACTTTTTCCATTATTCCTATGATGTAATGTATAACCTAACTTCTTTATTCAAATAAAACTAAAAAGTAAATTTACTGAATTTAAAATCTAATTAACTAGCAAACATGTTCCTCTTTTTCATTAATTTTCTAAGTGATGCAGGGGATTACAAATAGCAAAAAGAAAAGAAAAGAACAATGCAACCTAGATATTTTTTTTCTTCTTCTAAATCAAAACTATTACAAGTTATGATCTAGTCTTCATCTTGCTCTTCTTAGTCTGAGAGGTTATCTTCCATGTTTTCATCTTTTTGCTTAACCACCTCTTCCATTTCTTCTTCTTGTTCTCCTTCATCATCACTCCCTTGCTGCATCGGTATTGCTGCATCAGAGGCTTGGGGTGCAAAATTGAGGAATCTCAACTGACCTAAAATGAAATTGTCCATTTCTTTCAACTTTTTCATCACAAGTTCTCTTGTCTTCAGTTGGTTTTTCTTTATTTTTTGTAACTCTTATCAATTTTCTCCCAAATTTTAGCACCTTCAGCAGGTGGTGCTATATCATCATTTTTCTGGGGAGTTGCAGTAGCATTGCTTTGTAATAACTCTTCAATTTTCCTCCATATCCTTCTTACAGCAGCAGAGGAGATTTCTTCATTCATTTTGATTTTCTCTTCTTCATCTCCAATTGGTACCTTGGCTTCCCTCTCACTTCCACATTTGAAGGTCTTCCTTGGGGCATATTGGCATAAAACTCTGGAACAATGGGGAGTACACCATCTTGCTTATGTAAACAGAAGGTTCTCCATTGGTGAGCCTCAATGATGACTAAAATGTAAGATGGGTAGGCATTGGAGTCAAGAGAGTCCTTGACAAGACCCTTGTCTGGTGATGGTGTCCGCTTGAGCATGGTTTCATGCCTTTTTATTGCTCTTTCGGTGGAGAAGGAGGGGATTGCTTCTAATTGAGAGCTGCTTCCACTGGTCCTTGCCCTAATCTTGCCACTTTGAGTGCTTAAGCCCTCCATTGTTCCACTCCTAACTCAGTTTGGTTGTCTCGAGTGAAAGAAAGAAAGAAATATGATTGGGGGACTCCAAACTCAAGCCTTTGTTGTGGCTTGAGTTCTTGCAAGAAGGTTCTTAAAGATGTAATTAGAAGAGAGAATTTTTACTCATAAAACCAATACAAACACGATAATGAAGGTAGAAATATAGAACCTGGCTTTTACAGTGGGATAAATATGCACATGGGTCACAACGGTTCACTTTTGGTGGCTGGGTGAATTGGATGGTGCTGCATCAGGATGTGCGTAAAATTCTGATAGCTGTGTCATTTCATCCATTTCTTTGAAATTTTTAACCGTTGCATTGTTACAGCTTCAGTGATGATGTGGTAGCCTCTAAAAATTCTTTCTGTGGGCCTGCTATACATCATAATGACTCTAATTGATGCATCTGAATTGGGCCCAAAGCTTGTTTGGCCCGATTCCTTTATTCCAACCCAATTGCTATGGGTTTTGCCTTATTTTTCATGACCTCGTGCTACAACCTAGTTCCTATAATTTTAATTAATGGGCATCAACACCATTTTTCTCCCTGCAAAACATCTTAATTAAAATTAAAAAGAACATTAATACTAACTTATCCTAAATCCTAATAATTGAAAATACGAAATTGCAATAAATTAAAATACTAAAATTTAAATGCATAAAATTTAAAAACTTCCTAATTAAATTTTGTGCTGCCTCCCAAAAGCGCTTGTGTTATAGTCTTCAGCCTGACTTCCTCCTCGTCAGATTTCAACTTGGCTCAACCAAGGAGATAATGGTTGTCTCCTTGATATTTTGATCTCCCCAATAATGCTTCAGCCTTTGTTCATTAACCTTAAATGTGCTCCCATCTTTTTCATTCATAATTTCAATAGCTCTATAGGGGTACACATGTGCAACCTTAAAGTGTCCTGTCCATCTTGATTTGAGCTTGCCTGGAAAGAGCTTGAGCCTTGAGTTAAATAAAAGAACTTGTTGACCTTGCTCAAATACCCTTGCCAGGATCTTATTATCCTGCCACCTTTTCATATTTTCCTTGAAAAGCTTGGCATTTTCATATGCATTCATCCTGAACTCTTCCAGTTCATTTAGTTGTAGCATTCTCTTCTGTCCAGCTGCTTGTTCATCCAGATTTAGCTATGATATAACATAGTATGCTTTATGCTCTAACTCAACAGGTAGGTGACATGTTTTGTCATAGACAATTCTGTATGGAGATGCACCTAATATTGTCTTATAAGCAGTCCTATATGCCCATAGTGAGTCATGCAATATTTAGCTTAATTATCATGCAAACAAGACAACTTATATGGAACTTATGCAGCAAACTCATCATAAAAATACTAAATTAACTCTCAATTGAGAGAGTTAACAATAGTTCCTAATATAAAATGCTTGTCTGTAATCTTGACGAACATTGAATAACAATTTTGTTACTTGGTTTCCTTTAATATTTCTCTATTTTTCTTTGTCATTAGGATTCATATCCAACAGTCTACTTATACTTTGTATGTCGCAAGATGGTTTCCTTGTGTGATGTATACTTTATGTGTCTCTGTTGCGAACATGGCAAGTATACCGGTCGTACAAGTAATAAAGTGATTAAGTAAAAGTATTGTTCTCACGAAGACTAATTATAAGTAATAGTTTCACCATTTTTATCTAAGACAGTAAAAGAAATTAATTAAAAAGCTAATTTAAAATAAAATATTAAGTTTTGAAAATTGAGAATAAAAACGCAGCTAGGGTCTATTTCATCTATGATTTCCCTTAAATGAATTAAATTAATTCAATAAAATCCTAGCCCTCTTGTTAGCAAATGATTCTTCATCTAATTATTAACTGGTTAAATTCCTAATGTCTTAGTTATTTATCCCTTTAATCTAATTAGAATCCTAATTTCTTAGAAACCCTTCGTAGATTAAGCATTAAATGCAATGAATCCCACACGCTTGCAATTCTCGCCAGTCTATGTCTAGAACAAGCAAAAAATGGTATTTATCCTAGTTCGATTAAAATCCTAAATATTTCTATTTAGAATTCTACCCTCTTTATTCCTATATGGTTTTTCAAGTCATATAAGAAATTTAAACAAATAAATCAGGATAAATACATAATAATTGAGACAGAGTTTTTTTCAAAATTAATTAAAATCAAATAAGAGTAATCATTGGATCCATATCCCTAACTACTAAGAAAATTAGCCAAACATATTCATGTATGGCTTTAACAAAAATGTCAAAAGAAAATTAAAAGACAATTAAACTAAATTCCTAGATGAAGAATGAGATTAAATCTCCATGTTTCCGCTTTGATCCTCTTCCAGATCTTCACTGTCTATAGTCTTTGAGTTCTCTGTGTTGCGCGCTCCTTATTCTCTCTCTCTCTCTTTGTTCCAGCCTTCAATCTTTCCTGCCAGAATACCCTTGTTTCAAAATATTCCTCTTTTTATATTAAAGAGAAACTTTCCTTTTAAATCTCCAATTAAATCTTCAAAATATCACAGCCCATCTGATATGATTCCTCCTCAAAATATATCCAAAGTTATCTTTTTCTTATTGATGAGCAAAGTTTTTCCATTTTGTTTTATTTTAGAAAACAAATCAGTGTCAAATCTTCGTAAATCTGGCTTTAGCGCCTTTGGCGCCACATTGTGAGAGAGATTCGCCCCTTTGGCGCCAACTTTTGTTGTTGCCCGCTGTAAGAACCTGCACCGTTAATTAAGGAAATTAATCAGTTAATTATGAGTTTAATGAGATAATTCCATAATTAACCCTAATAATTATTATGAAGCTCTAATAATTATAGTAATTGAGTAATAATGTTGAAAGTCATTTTTCTGACGAAAAGTGCAGATACCGGTTCTGCTACCGTTAATTAAGGAAATTAATCAGTTAATTATGAGTTTAATGAGATAATTCCATAATTAACCCTAATAATTATTATGAAGCTCTAATAATTATAGTAATTGAGTAATAATGTTGAAAGTCATTTTTCTGACGAAAAGTGCAGATACCGGTTCTGCTAGTCGGTATAAATGCGTATCGAAATAGTATCCCGGAAAACTATAATAAGTGCATGATAATTACTAGAATAACATGTAGGACTTGTAAAACGAGTTTCAAGTTAAAATAATGAGAACTGGTACCAGAAACTGGTATTGGCTATGAAAAGCGCGTACCGGAAAGGTGCTCCGAAAAATATAAGAAAAATATGTTAATTCTTGTAAAATTGAGTAGGATGAGAATCCTGAGTTTGGGATTAAAATGCTAAGCGTAGCAATAAAAGCTAATACTGTGTTTTAATTGGTTAAGTGACTATATATAGGCTTGTTAAGGCACAAAACCCTAGGCATTCAGAATTCTCTACGTGGAGGGTGGCTGACCAATTTTCTTAAACATTATTCCACGGCTTCTTCATCTTGTTCTTGAGCTTTGGGGCCATTTCCTTCACAAATTCTTCTCCTAAACACTTGTAGCTTGTGATAGTTGGCTTTGGAGGGGTGTGGAAAGTATCATTCTGAGTTTGTGACCTCTGTTTGGGGGGTGTTTGTTGCTGACTTTGGAGGTTGGGGGTTGTTGAGCCATTGTAGTGGCATTGTGAGCTTCAAGGAGCTTCCTTTGTGAAGAAAGAACCAACATTGGTGTGTCATTTTCGTTTTGGGACCAAGTCAGAACCTTGGGAGTTGGTTGTGAGCTCCAAAAGCAGCCCTTTGCCTCTGTTTTGAGCTTTGGGTGAGTTGCCTAACTTTGATCATGAGTTTTAATGGTTTAAAGGTGATGTCTTTGCATGTTAATGGGTTAAACAAGTAACCAACTGGTACGTAGACTTAAAACAGATTAAAGATGCATGCTTTGACGTTTTATAGTGTTAAAAATGGTACCTTGGAAGGATATCTTCGCGAAATGCAGAAACTGCATTCTGTCGCTCCGGATATGGATATCCGGATATGGTATCCAGATATTGATATCCGGATATGCCCCCGACAAATATTCGGATATTCTGGGTTTGCGAGGAACAGTAGATGTACTGTTCATACAGTAGGCTATTGGGGGTTTGTGGACCCTAGATTGATGAAGTTGAACTTCTGTAGATACTTAACTAAGTCAGAATCATTGGATTAAGGGCTTATGGCTTTGAGGGAAGCCTTAAGACGTAAAACGTAAGAAAGACGTTGTCTTTATGATGTATGCTTGTAGTGCATGTTTATTAATTTATTATTGGTCCATATCAGATTGTGATCTGCTGTGTGTTGGACTTGAGCTGTGGACTCTTGGCTTTGGGTGTTAGCTTGCAAGGTAAGCTTTCGTGTCCTCGGTTTAGCCATGTTGTGGTTCCAACATGTCCCATGGGGGTATGGTTATATGCATGTTGTGTTACATGCTTTGAATATTTGAAATGTTGTTGAGCTTTATGTGTAATGGCTTTTAATATGCATGTATTGTTCCATCTTGACAGTAACCCTGAGTATGTGGTGTCATACAAGACGGTGATCCGGGGTGGATGCAAGTGGCGTCTTGCACTATGTGTAGGTATTTGGCGTATATAAATCTTGCATTTCTCTGGCCAGTAGAATATAATTGACACACATGACATGATTATCTGTTGCATTGCAATATTTTAGAACTGATGTTATAAACTGCTTTTGAACATATATTGCACATGTAAGTGAGCTTGAGGTGGAAGATCCTTGAGGACCCCTTGCCTTACTGAGATTTCTTGTTTAGAGATCTCACCCCACGTTTGGGGAATGCTTATTTCAGGTTCAGGTAGTATGGGGACTGATGCCTCTGGCGGCAGGAGGCCAGAGCTTAGTTGATGTTTAGTGCTGTTCATATTATGCTGGCATGACTGGATTGGATGCAGTTTATGTTTTCTATCATTTATGCTTATGTTGCTGTTGTTGAGACTGATGTTGGGCTTTGTTGCCTTATTTGGGTGAGCATGGGAGTTGTCCATGCCACTTTGTTGTTAGTACTTTTGAGTTGAGTTGTATAAACTTTTAGATGGTCCGGTCTATGTTTTGTAGTTCCGTGACTAGAGACTCATACTTATGTTATTTAATTAATGAGGTATTTCAGTTAGTTGTTTATTGCAATGTACATTCAGGCAATGTTTTGAAAATGGTTAAGTAATCAAGTTGGTAATGATTAATGACATCATAATTGAAAAGAAAAAGATATTCCGCATTTTTAATTAAGCACATCTTAATACGATAGTATGATAATATTACCGGATATATACGGGGTGTTACATTTATGGTATCAGAGCAATGGTTCGAGGGAAAAGCCTGTATGTATTGCAATATCTAGGATGTTTGGTTGCATCTGTCTTGTGTGTTTACTCCGTCGAATTTTATTATGATAATGCATACGTAATCACATTATGTGGGCCTGATCAACTCATAATTTGTGTAACTTGTGCAGAGTCATGGTAAGGTCCGGGAGAACACGAGAGATTTCTGAGGATCAACCCGATCCTATCCTGACTGCATTGGCTGAGATGCAGGCGGCTAGGTTAGCCGATCAGGAGGCCACTAGATTGGCCAACGCGGCAATGATGAACGTTGTTCGCGAGGCGAATCGGATAGCCGCAGAAGAGGTTCGTGAAGCGAACCGGAGGACCACTGAGGATGTCCTCGAGGCGAACAGGATGGCGAACATGACGATGATGAGAGTCATGTTGGAGGAGATGAGGGCTGGTCCTGCTGTAGGTCAGTTTCCACCGCCACCGCCTCCACCTAGTGTTCAGGATGAGAGCCTGAGTCACTTTGGCAGTGCTACTCATGTCGCTGGGACGATGAAGACCTTTGCGGAGCTTGCTGAAGATCATGATGTGATTGATCGTCGACTGAATGCTTTCAGGAAGTATAAGCCACCTGTGTTTGATGGGTCTTTGGATCCTATTGCTGCAGCGAGATGGCTACAGGCGTTGGACAAGATATTCCGGGTCATGCAGTGTACATACCCGCAGAAGCTGATGTTCTCGACTTACATGCTGGAGGGCGATGCCCATGAGTGGTGGACGAACACCTCTCGTGCTTATGAGATGCAGGGTCATGTCATGACGTGGCCATTCTTCGAGGAATGATTTTGGGAAAGTACTTTCCCTACGATGCGCAGGAGAGGAAGCAGGGG